ACTCCTGGACTCAAGCCTCTCAAGTAGCTGGGACTCTGGGCAGACATCACCATTCTATTTTTAGTAGAGAAAGGGGTCTTGTTCTTGCTCTTCCCAGGCTGGTCTTGAATTGCTGAGCTCAAGTAATCTTCCCACTTGGGCCTCCTAGAGTGCTAGGATTATAGGTGTAAACCACCACACCCATCCACTAATTCTCCTTTTTGAGGATTCTTGTTCCTTGAGCAATTTCCTGACTATTACTTGCCTAGAGGAAGAGAACCAGGACACAAACAAGAGCATTCTGTCTCTGAGATATTTCTCATTACAACATACTCATTTGGCAACATAATGTTTTTGAAACTGTACTTCATACATTACATTTGGTGGGTTCTGCTTCACACTCAGTTGTTCTATATTTTAATTCTCATCCACTATTCAGCTGCTTAAGGCAGGGCTATATTATTATTTCTCCCCTGCAGGGCCCAGTCCAAATAGAGAACACGTTCATTAAGTACCTGATAAATAGGCATTTATGTAAGGCTTCATATAAAGGACAACAGCAATCTGAAGCTGGATAGAGCCTTCGTGATCACATATTAGTGCAAGAAGAGAAGAATTGTCTCAAGGTCAGCAGAAATAAGCAGAGATAGCAGAAATAAGTCTAGGGCCCAGGTCAGTTATCAAAAATAAGGAAATGACACAGTATCATAGTAGAATGATGACAAAAATTACCAAAATACAAGAGATACCAACATATCTAAATGACATACATGAAAACTGATTAAAGATTAAAAAGAAAAAGACATACATAGTTAGTCCTCAAGAAATTCTTGGTTTCTCTACAAAGCAGGAGTTAACTCATCCCTAAAATAATAAAAAGCTGAACTGAAAAATTAATGACTTTTCTTGGATCCATTAAAGAACTAAAGTCACAAGGAAGACTATCACTCTATAATCCAGAGAGAGAGGCAAATACAGAAAAATCACAAACAAGATCCTGCTTACATGAGCAGAAGCCACTGGAGCCATAAACTAGTAGGAACACCTAAATGGTAACCTTTGACAAACTGCTGGACACTGAGTATGTACTAGCTTGAGAGTCTCCATGCTTTTGTGCATTTTGTCTCCAGGAACCCTACCAGGTTGTCATGATGAAGAAACAGGTAAGACCCCTTTGTGACTTGAGGAAGAAGGAAAGAGTAAGAACCATGAAGTAGTGTTCTCTACAATTAAGGACTACTCTTTAAGAAAAAAGATTTTACCAGAGCCTTTTCTGAACTGAGGAAGGGTACTGCCCTGACTGCAGTGTGATGTTCAGGTATTTAGGCAAACTCACTCCCATGACTGAGATTTTAACACTGATATCAAAAGATTACAGAAAGTTCTCCTTCCCCATATCTTACCATCATCCCAAAATGGCTACAGTACAATGAGGGTAGATTACAACACCTGTAGGATACACACTCTAGGAAGCCAAGCTTCTGACACCTGTAGCTATAGGAAAAAATAGGAACAGAACACTAATATAACTGTGGGAAATTTCAAAATGGAACAGAACATCTAAGAACTGTGGCTAATTTAGGAAGAGAGTTAAATGAAGGTAAAATAAAATACATCACTGAGCTATCAGAAGGAAAAGACAGAAAGAAGCAGAAGCAATATTTGAAGTAGTAAGGTCTGAGAATTTTCAAAAAACTAATGCAATACCAAACCACAATACAGGAAGCTCAGAGAACCCCAAGCAGGATAAATCTTCACCTTGGCATATCTTATTCAAATTGCAGAGAAACAAAATAGAGTGAAAAATCTCATTTTTGTTTTTTTTATTTCCTCCTTCCTTCCCTCCTCACTGAAAATCTTGATTATGGAATATGGATAGAAAATATAGCAGACTTTTCCTCAGCAACAATGCACAAAAAAAAAAAAAAAAGAGAGAGAGAGAGAGGGAGAACAAAGTGAAATATTCAAAGTATGTAGAGAAAAAGTCCACCAGCTTAGAGTTCTGTATCTCAGTAATATTATCCCTCAAACATGAAGGTAAAATACTTTCCCTGGGAAACAAAAACTAAGGAAATTCACCTCTAGCAGAACTGCTCCAAAAGAAACATAAGAAAATGGTATAGGTTAGAAACTTGGATCTGCATTAACAAAGGAAGATCATCAGAGAATAAACAGATGAAAATAAAATAAAATCACGTATTTTTCTTACTTAATCTAAAAAACAACTTTAAATAATAATAATAGCAATGTGTTGGGAGATTGGCATATATGGAAAAGTGAAACAAATGATGGGAACGTCATAGGGCACTGGTCCCCAACTTTTCAGCATCAGAGACTGGTTTCATGGAAGATAATTTTTCCGTGGGATTGGGGGTAGTGTGAGGGATGTTTTTGGGATGATTCAAGTACATTACATTTATTGTGCAGTTTATTTCTATTATTATTACATTGTAACATATAATGAAATAATAATACAACTCACCATAACACTGGATCAGAGGAAACCCAGAGCTTGTTTTCCAGCTAACTACATGGTCCTAGCACTAGCATTACCACCTCAGCTCCACCTCAGATCATCAGGGATTACATCCTCATAAGGAGCTCACAACCTAGATCCCTTGCCTGCAGTTTGTGGTAGCATTCATGCTCCTACGAGAATCTAATGCCACCGCCAACCAGACAGGAGGCAAAGCTCAAGCAATGATGTGAGCAATGGGGAGCAGCTGTCAATACAGATGAAGCTTCACTGGCTCACCTCCTGCTGTGAGGCCGGGTTCCTAACAGACCAGGCACAGGTATTGGTCCGCGGCCCAGGGGTTGGGGACTGCAGTCATAAGGGACAGGAGGGAAGAACTGGAACAATTCTATAAAAAGGCACCTGCAACTTTACATAAAACAGAATAGTGTTTTTGAAGGAGGACTAAGATTAGTTAAAAATATTTATTGTAAAACAGGGCAACTACCAAAAAAATAAAATAAAATGAACAATGTCCCAGAAATTACAGTGTTAAGAAACGACTTAAGAAATAAAAAGCAATTACATAAAAACTCAAAAGTAAAATGCTATCCTTGGGACAATTTAATAACTCAAATCCCAAAGGCCATGAAAATAATAATAAAAAATTGGAGGTGATGAATATAGCAAGTGTTATTCTGAGTTGTTTACATATACTAACTCATTTTTTCTTAAAATTATCATTCATGTTTTAAACAAAAATACTGAGGCACAGAGATTAAATTATTTGCTCAGTGATACAAAACAGCAGAGCTGAATTTACACAAGACACATGGCTTCAGATCCACTATTTTTTTGGTGATCTTCCTGCCTCAGCCTCCCAAATAGCTGGACTACAGGCACCTTCTACCTTGTCCAGCTAATTTTTTATAATTTTTTGTAAAGAAGGGGTCTCCCTATGTTACTCAGGCTAGTCTTAACTCCTGGCCTCAAATAATCTTCCTACTTTGGCCTCCAAAGTGTTGGGATTACAGGCGTGAGCCACCATACTTGCCCTCAAAATCCACTCTTAGTTAGTAAATAATGTCTATTAACAATAGTGAGTCAATGGCCTAGACTCTACTGACATGGATTAATTCTAAATATGGTTTACACTTACATTAAAATTCACTAATTCAGGTCTCTCTCTCTCCTCTTCTCCTTCATGAGAGGGACCCACTTCTAACTCTCTTTGAAAGTATTCTAAACTTTCTCTTAAATAAAAGTTCTCTTTGTTACATTGAAAAAAAATTTAGGAATTCAAATTCACAAATGATAACACCACATATTCCATGGACTAAAGTCCTGCTTCACCTAAAAACATTCACATATCTAGGATTAAACTGCAAATACATACATATTCAGGTAATGTTTTTCAAAGAATATTCCAAAGACTTAAATAGACATTTTTTCAAGGAAGACAAATGACCAATAAGCACATGAAAAGATGCCAACATCACTAATCATCAGGGAAATGCAAATCAAAACTACAATTACATACCATTCATCCTCATTAGCATGGCTACTATCCAAAGTCAGAAAACAGTAAGTGCTGATAAGGATGTAGAAAAATTGCAACCCCGTACACTGTTAGCAGAAATGTAAACTGATACAGTCACTGTGGAAAACAGTATGGTGGTTCCCCCAAAAATTAAAAACAGAATTACCTTATGATCTAACAATTCTACTTCTGAGTACATACCCCAAAGAACTGAAACCAGGGTCTCATTCAAAGCAACAGTATTCACTATAGCTAAAACACGGAAGCAAACCAAGTGTCCATGAATAGATGAGATGGATAAGCAATGTTTATACACACATGGAATGTTGGACTGCAAAAGGAAGGTAATGGTTACAGTATGAATGAACTTTCAGGTTCTTTATGTTAAGTGAAATAAGCCAATTACAACTACTGTATGATTCCACTTATATGATGTAGAGCAGTTAAAAATCACAGAGACACAAAGTAGAAGAGTAGTTGCCAGAAGCTACAGACAAGGGGGAATGGGAAGTGACTGATTAATGGGTATGGCATTTCGGTGTGGGATGAAAAAATTCTGGAGATGAATAGTGGTGATGATTGCACAACATTAGGAATGTTATTTAATACCCCTGAACTGTACACTTAAAAACGATTAAGATGGTATATTTACCACAATAAAAATTGAAGGAAAATGTTTTTATCAATAAATGTTAATATGAGGTATTTGCAAAAAACTATATTATTCTATTTCTTAAAAATCTAAATAGAAATAGGTTAAATATTTACAATTTACACAGCAAATGGCACTTCAATTGTTCCTTGGTATGCAACAAGAGTGGCTCTAGGACTCCACATATACTCAGGTCCCGGAAAATGTCCCTACAAAACTCAAGTATATCCACATTGGTTGAAAATAATCTATGTTATCACTGGACTCCTGAAGTTCGAACCAGTATTGTTCACAAGTCAACTATATTTCAGCTATATATGTTTATTTAGCAATTTCACATATTTAGCAATAAATGATTATGCAAAGCTACTTACCTTTATCCAATTTTCTAGCTCTAGATAACTTTTCTTGTGATTTTCTTTTTAGTTCTTGGACTGGAATACAAGTCAATGCTTTCTCTTGGAGCGCAAGATTTTCATAGACCAGCACATGTTGAATGTTGGACTGAAGAGCTTTTAGAATAGGTGAATTAGCAGTAACCTAATAGAAAAAAAAACTGAAATTAGCTTTTCATGGTATGCTACAAAAATATCATATAATAAAAAACACTGTGGCTTTTTGATTTCATCAAAGGGAGTATATGGACTGAATAAAATAATTATACACCGTATCTTTATAACATTGGTATTAGAATATAGTCACATCTGTGTCAGAGTCTAAGATCTACTTTTTCTTTACACATTCTTGAGTATATCAACAGGGATATGCTAAATTATTGACCACAAGCCTGAAACAATATAGCACTCTGAGCAATGCATCTGACAGCCCTTTCCACTTCAAGTCTATGTAAGGGACACCATTAGCAAAGGAGGCATGCGTTTAAATAATCAGATCTCAAGAAATTCCTAAATGAGAAAAATGAGATAGGAGTGGACTAGAGGAAGAAACCCTGATGACCATCTGGAGAAGGATGGTGGTGATCGCTGCACAACATTGTGAATGTATTTAATAACATCCCCCCAAGAGAGGGTGGTGATAAAAAGTAAAAAACAAAACAACAAAAAAAATAGTTTGCAAAATAATCCCAAGGCCAGAGACGCCACAAGATCCACAGAGCAGGAAGGGACCTTGAAGCAAACATTAGAAAGAAGGCCGGGCTCTGCAGAAGAACAGCTAGTTATTTTGGCCTATTCCTCCTTTTACCCCATCAACAAAAAAGTCCACCTCCATCATTTTTGGTCTCCATCATTTTCCCAATATGTAACACATTTACACAGAGAATGGTGGGGTGCATGCTTGAGTCCTCAAAATAAAAAGAAGTAACCAAGTCCAGAACAGTTACTTTAAGCACAATCCACAATGCAGGGTGTCCTGTCCCTCCTCCAGCTGCAGAAGCAAATGTAGCATTTGCCCACAAGCTGGCAAGAAGTCTCAAGTGTATACAGATCTATAACAATAAACCATACTGTTGAGGAGATGCATTGAAATCACTATCAGAAGAGCTAATCATGTAGCAACGGCAGTGATTTGACATTACATTTATTTAATTTGCCAATAAATAATCATTTATTGCTAAATGATTGGCAATGAATACAAAGACTAAAAAACACCTTATCTTCAGAGATTCAAGATATACTGTATTTCAGAGAAAGACTCAATGATGGAGCTTGGACATAAAAATTTAAACATTAAAATAATGAACAAAGTACAAATGGTGTCAAGCAGTAGAATAAACATAGCTGAAGAGGGAATGATTTAAAGGCTTAGCAAGGCATTTTCTGAGAATAAGGTCTACAAAGAACAAATGGACACTGAGGATAAATCCAAAGGTCCCCAAATCTAGTTAACAGAAATTCTAGAAAGAGTAAAAACAATGGAAGAAAGTATCATCTCAAAAAAATAATGGAAAAAAATTTCTGATAGCTAGTATGAATGGAAAATAAAGCAAACAAACAAAAACTAGGCATGTAATGCTGACATTTCATTAATAGGTTAGTAAAAAAAAACCCGAAATTCTAAAAGCCTTCAAGCAAAAAGACGTAGTTTGATGTCAGACATCTCAGTGAAAACAATGAAGCAAAAGTTTTGAAATTCTGAGGGAAAAGAATTCAGAACATAGAATTTATACCTAGTCAAACTAATGATGTAAAGGGGCAAAACAAACACATTTTCTCATATAGAACAACATAAAAGTATATCCTCCCAAATCCTATCTAAAAGAATTATTAGAGAAATTACAGTAGCCAAAAATATAATACATCCTAAATAAGAAAATAAGATATCCAGGAATAAGATCTGAAATAAAAGCAGCAAGGATGTGTTAAAACAAAACAAAAACAAAAAGATCAAACAAATAAAAAAAATCTGGTAAAACTTAAGATTAGATTGGTACAAAAAAAATCACACTGGAAAGCAAAATTTCAGAGTATTTTCATAAGGAAGATGGCAAGGAAGAGAGCAGAACAAAGACTCCTGTCCTACTGTAAGATGTTGGTAGAAAAATTTTAAATTAAATATTTGCATTAAAAATTTCAGGTCAATAATTAGATGACTAAAAAGATAATACTCAACTTCCTAATTCTTATAAGGATAAAAATGAGGAAAAACTTGATCAATCTAAACAAAACATAATGGGCAAAAAAAAAAAAAAAAAGACACAGACAATACAAAATAAGATGTCAGAATCAGTCTGAAGATGAGTAAGTACAGTCAATGTGCATATTATAAAGAAGAGATAGACTGATAAAAAATAATAAAAAACAATGACTAAATACTTTAATGTCAGTCACTGCATTAAGTACAGGAATGGGTGCATAAGACTGATATGATCAATTTAAGGTCAAAAGAGAAAAGACTTAATAAAAATATCCTAACAGAACCACCACAGAAATTCAACAAACGTATCTGTGCATCTGCGTGTATGTATGTATGTGTTACATACTGGGAAAATGATAGAGACCAAAAATAAAGAAGGTTAACACCCTCACAGAACAAGTAATATATAAATACAGAAACAAATAGTGATAATGTTCACTTACGCAAACGTTTATTGATCCTTTATTTGCTAGGTCCTGGGGATACAATGGTAAGTTAAACAATGAACCCATGGGTATGTTAAATGTTATTATGCAAATATAAAGGATAAAATGAGAATTTACAAACTGAGTATTGAACCTAGACGTCTTTGAAGAAATCTAAGCATTGGAGGAATATGTAGGATGAGAAGAAGCTAGCAAAGAGGTAAGGGAAAAGACCATTCTTATCAGAAGGAACAGCACATACGAAGACGAGAAGTTTGTGTGTTGGGGGATAAATAACCATTACATATTCTGAAGTATCAGAGTGATCAGGGTGTTTCGTGCACAGACAACTAACAGAAAAATGGTAGGAAGTAAAGCTAAAGATGAAACTGGGTTGGTAAGCAGCTAGATGTTTTGGTATCTGTCCACTGTATTGAGAAGCCATTAAAGAGATTTAAACAAGAGAGTAAAGCAATCAGATTTGTGTTTGCAAAGTATCGTGCTAGCTGCTATGTGCATGTCCATGCTGGACTACTGCAGAACTCCAAGATAGCTGATGGCTTAAACTTGGTAGTTATAGCACAGGTAGAAAAAAGTAAATGAATATGAGAGAAATTTACGAAGTGAAATCCGTAAGTCTTAGTGACCACATGGCAGAGTAGGAAATAAAATCAACTAGGGTTGGTACCAGCACCATGAAGCAGGAAGTAGAATTAACAAGTCTTAGTTACAGGAAGTCAAGAGTAGTTAAAAAAGGAGAAAAGTGTATAAGAATGACCCAACTTTTTTTTTTTTTTTTTGACATGACCAACTAGGTCAGGAGTTGAACCACTTCCAATAGGAGAAAGCCCAGGAATTGACCAAATGAGCTAAAGATTATTACATAGTCAAGTAAAAACAAACTAAAGTCTGTGCATTAAACTGGAGAGATTGTGGATGATCATAAAAACACAGTCTTGTATGTAATACTGTTAATAAGGAAAACAAGTTGCAAGAGATCGAGTTGTGCAAGTGGTAGCCCAAAGTGGGCTAAGTGTGCCAAAGAAGCTATGATATACTGTTTTAGAATTAAACTTACTCTTCAGCACCTCTTTACATTATTTTATGTGTATAGTATATTGCCATAGCAGTATGTATATGTTAATTATAAATGAATATAAAAAAACATATTTAGAATATATGAGGTCAAACAATTAAGTTTGCAAACATCCTAGAAAAAGTGTTACATACTTCACTGCTGAATATTACTATAGTCACCTTCGAAGTACTCCCCTTGGGAAGTTATACATTGATGCCCATTGATTACCCTTCAAAGCAGTTTTACAACTCATTTTTTAGAGTGGCCATCAGAGTTGTCATTGTACAAGGTCAGACAATTTACTTGGCAAACTCATCCTAGAAAAAGGGGTACATATCTCACTGCTAAAATCACTATGGCCTCCGTTGAAGCACTCCCCCTTGGGACAGTATGCACCAATGTCAGTGCCTAGTCTACCCTAGAAAGCACTTTATCTGGTTTTTTTTTTTTTTTTTTTT